CCAAGTGGAAAGGAAGCAGTAGGTGCAAATGGATGTACAAGACAAAGAGAAACGAAAGAGGAGAAGTGGAAAGATAGAAAGCGAGATTAGTTGTGAAATGCTACTCTCAGAGAAAAAGCGTTGATTACGATGAAGTATTTGCTCCTGTTGCTCGCTTGGAGACCATAAGATTGATGATTGCACTTGCGGCTCAAAATATATGGAAGATTTTTCAGATGGATGTCAAATCGGCATTTCTGAATGGATATCTTGAAGAAGAAGTATATTTAGAACAACCTCTTGGTTATGTGATGAAAGGACAAGAGGATAAAGTTCTAAAGTTGAAGAAGACAGTGTATAGGTTGAAACAGGCTCCAAGGACGTGGAATAGCAGAATTGACAAATATTTCCATGACAATGGGTATTTAAGATGCCCACATGAACATTATCTTTATACAAAGATTAACGATCATGGAGATATTTTGTTGGTTTGTCTATATGTTGATGACTTGATTTTTACAGGAAATTGTCCAAACATGTTTGACAAATTTAAGAAGGCAATGATCCAAGAATTTGAGATGACAGACATTGACGTTATGTCATATTATCTTGGCATTGAGGTGAATCAATTGGAGGAAGGAATTTTTATGTCTCAAGAACGATACACGAGAGAAATTCTTGAGAAATTCAAGATGTTCAATTCGAAACCAGTTGTTACTCCGATCGAAACTGGAATGAAATTGTCAAAATATTAAGATGGAGATGTTGTTGATCATTTATATTTTAAAAGCTTAATTGGGAGCTTGAGATATCTGACATGCACAAGGCCTGATATTTTTTTCAATGTTGGATTGGTGAGTCGGTTTATGGAATCTCCTACAACTACTCATTTGAAACTAGTGAAGAGAATTCTTCGTTATCTCAAAGGTACGCTGGATTATGGTTTATTTTATTCTTCATCTGGAGAATTCAAACTTGAAGGTTATTGTGATAGTGATTGGGCTGGAGATCTCAATGATCGAAAAAGCACAAGTGGATTTGTGTTCTTTATTGGCAATACTGCTTTTACATGGAGTTATAAAAAGGAGGCTATTGTGACACTATCTACTTGTGAGGCTGCATATGTTGCTGCATCATCATGTGTGTGTCATGCAGTTTGGTTGATGAATTTTGTTGAAGGCAGTTGGAATTGTGCAAGAAGATGCAACTGTGATCCATGTGGAGAATAAGTCAGCAATTGCTCTAGCAAAGAATCCAGTGTTCCATGATCGAAGTAAGCACATTGATACAAGATTTCATTTCATCAGGGAATGCATTTCAAGAAAGGAGATTCAGGTTGATTATGTGAAGACTGAAGATCAAATTGCGGATATCTTCACAAAGCCACTCAAAGTTGATGTCTTTAACAAGTTGAAGAATTTACTTGGAGTTACGAGGAAGACATGTTTAAGGGAGGATGTTGAAAATTAAACATGTTAATACATATTCTAGATACATTATGCATGTACATTCCTAAGTACATGCATGATACATGTACATGAACAAGTACATTAATGTATTTTGTTTTTTAAGATGGGTTAATTGTGTGTTCATGTATGTATTGGTTCATAGGATGTTTATGGATCTAGATTCTTTCATGGAGTCCTATTAATAGGATATGATGTTCATTTGTTATATTTCAAGCAAGTGTGTAGAGAAGAAAAATAACAGAGTTTGAGAGAGTTTGTGAACCAAGTGTGTATTTTGTAAGAAATTTTTCAATACAAGAAAAGTTGTTTATTCTCAAACGAGTCTTGTGGATCCTAAATTAGCAAGTGTCCATCACACACTTCCAACATAGGTCGCTTATCCACGATACAATGAGTTGGTGAGAAATGAAGGCTAGAAGCGATATGAACTGCAACTTGATTATCACACAACAAGAGGGCAATAGCAGTAAAGCAACTTGCAAATCATACAAAAGGCCAGTCAACCGTATAATCTCACAAGCAGTCACCTCCAAACCACGATACTCCAATTAGGGTAAAGAACAAGAAACAGTATTTTTTTTTCTTGGATTTTAAGGATACCAATGAGTTTCATAGTAAAACAGAGCATCTAGTTAGGGAACTTTGACGTGTCTAAAACCAGCTTTCCAATCAGAATCGGGAAAGACTCGCATTTTGAAATATTGGACACAACTGCCTGAAATTGCCCAAGTGAGCTTCAAATTGTGACTTACACGATTTGGACATAAACTAACTAAGTTTAGGTTGGGAAATCAAGGTTTTGACAATTTCCCTTTTCACGGTTATATCCAGTAAATGAAAAATAATCACAGACAATAAGAGATTAAAGGGAAAGTAGAAACGGCATAAAAATTTATATTGTCCACCCAACAATGAATATGTCTTCTGCTTAGATGCGGTTCCACTATATGAGATTTGATACCAGCACTCAAATATCCCTCCAGATATTCACCATCTAGAGATCCCAACAAAAGCCCTCTATGTTCTAAGTATTATAACACAATGTACTTTAGGTACATGAATGAAAATTAAAACTCACAAGAATCAGGATCTAATTACTCTGAATACGACGATCTTGATCTACCTCAACGTTGCTGCCAATACCCTGAGCTTCAGCCCCAAAATTGCAACAAAATGCTCTAAAAAATAACTCAATTCAGCTCTAAGAAATCCTAAAACACGAAACTACCACATTTATAACATCGTTACAGCCATGGTGCTATGGAAGGAAAGTCGTACGCGCGCTCCCCATCATGACAGCATCACGACGACCCTACCTCCTCGGCCTCCATGACCTACAGTTCTGCTTCTTCGACTGTTTTCATCACTGCTTCGTCCCGACTAGATCTTGACTCGTTCAAACATCGATTTGGCTCCACCAATCCCAACAGTTTATGTATGGCTTCTTCTAAAATTGCCCTTATGAAACGTGGAGTTCGCTCATTTTGAAGCATTCTCCTCAACCCCACGTGTCATAAGAAGGATGGTTAGTAAGCCGAAAAAGTCAGTCAAAGGTGTTACAAAACATTAGTTGTCCTTAGTTCAAGCTTTTAAGTATTCTTTTTATCAGTTTTTATTTAAGGTTTCACTTAGTTTTCAGCTTAATTATTTTCTTATTTCATACTTTTTAACCAGTTTACTCAAATCAAATTCAGAATTATTTTATTATCTTCATCTCTCGCATCTTCATCTTCTTTGCCATATAAAGATCTTGGAATCGCACATTTTTATATAATTGAATGAGTTCTATTCTCCTAGCTCAAAAGAAAAGGGTAAAGTTAATTCATATTGCAATTCATCGGAGGTTTCATGAGTTAGATTCAAACTCATGACCTTTTGGTCAAAGATAGATACCTTAACCACTTGAACTATGCTCGATTTGGCTTAACAATTTATTGATTAAAACTGAGAGGAAGAATTTAGACAGAAATATTCCGCTTAATTAAGTAACCTAACATATGACCTTTAATCCTTGGTTGCAATTGGTTTTTGTTCAAACTAAGTCTTTTTATTAATAGACATATTAGTAAAGGACTTTAATCTTCAAGATTACTTGGACATAAGTAAGCTTAAGAAGTAGAGTCAGGCTGGATTTCGATTTCTAAGTAATTCCAAACCGAAACTAAAATCATTTCCGTTATTTTTATCCTAAAATCAATTATACTTGCCAAGGTAAGTATAGCTTAGCGGTAATTGACATATATCTCCAATCATGAGGTTGTGAGTTCGATCTCCGACCCCCACATGTTATAAAAAAAAAATTACACTTCACTCATCACCATTAGTTTTAAGAGATACTTACACCAATATAAAGCTAAGGATACATTATGATTAGTAACACAATATATATTATTTAATATTAGACCGAGAAATGGAAATGAGAAAAATAAAACTATTTCTGCAGTTTCCAAAATTTAATTATTTTTTTATAACGTTTCTAGAAGTTTAGAAATGAGAAACGAGATGGGTTACTGATGAACATGAACGAGAAAAGAAAGAAAAAAAAAACAGAAAGCCATATATTCCAAAAATAACCATTTGTGTGCAGTGGGAATCCAGAGCTTTATTTTCGGGCTTATATTTGTACAAGGATAATTTAGATAATGCATTTGATATATACATCACTAATATTAGTTTATAATTTGACGTTAGTTTCTTGAATAGAATTGATTTCTCTGTTTAAACATACCAGAAAGATACGATGAAAAACTTGAAATGATTTTTTAATTTTCTTCGGTAAGAATTATGATTTTGTTTATGTAATTAATTTTTTTAAGTACAATTTACTTAAAATTTAAATTATTTTAATTCACTTTCAATTATATATATCAAGATTTTTTTTTTTTGAAAATATTGCTTTTAATAAAAAGTTACAAGATATAAAAGTCTAAACTATTACTTTAAATGAAGAAAAAAAGATTTATATTCTTATTACGAAAAATAGTTCGTTCTGGGTATAATATAAAACTCACAACTTTCAATTTTTTTAGGTTAAAAATAGATATATAGTAAATAAATAATATTAAAATAACAATTTATTTATTTATTTTGGTAAGAAGTATAAATAGTAAAACACAATATTAACAAATGTGTCATGTCCCAGACTCAAATCGAAGTTATCACATACTTTTCAAGAGAGACGAGGAAGCAAAGCAAGGTAATTAAAGGATTTCTCCGACTAAAAATTATGTGTTCGATCCTCCACTGCTGTCATGGGTCGTACTAAAAATAAAAAAGCACCACCGCCCCAAACACCACATAGTCAAAATTAATTCCTTAACCTTAGTTCCCACCGCCTTCTCCACTGTATGTCTTCTAAAATTGTAATTTTGAATTCTTCTTTATCTAATAAGTTGAATCTATTCACAAGAATCAATACTTTAGACCTTTAAACACAATTTATTAATAAAATATCAAGTGTATTTTGCATCTAATTCAATTATTTTTATTTATTTTTTGAGAGAGTTTTTATTTTATTTTATTTTGTGTATTGAAGATGCAAAAGAAAAACTAAGTGAAATTACATTATTGTCCCAAGGCAATTTATTTTTGTCTAGAGATCAAACACATCCGGGCATAAAGATACCTTTGCTTGGATTCCTCTACGTGCTGCTGGTGGTATGCTTTGCTCATGGAAGAAGAAGTTTAAGGGATCCACCTTAGTCTTCACTTCTACCAACTTTTCAAAATTATTCCCAAAATATTTCAACCCCCAAACGCTTGCTTCCTCATAGCTCGTTGAAATTCCCTCCTCGTTATTTCTTCCGATGTCGAGATCTCTACAATTTGCATACACCGCTCTCGGTGATTTTGACACAAAAGGAGTCATATAATTGTAAAGCTCTCGTGTCCATCCCAAATGTCTTGCATCAGCATCCGGTTGTTCCCATAAAACGTAGTAGAAGATTTTGATGGGATACCCAGCTCGATATGGGGAGGGAGTTTTTGTTTCAGAAATCTCGTTCATTTTCCCTCCGTGAGGGTTCAGTATGAGTTTCACTGTTTCTATTCCTCCAATAATTTTGAACCTTTCCCATATGCCTTCCATGGCAGTTTCTGGGATGGGTTCTGTTGCAAAATCGGACTTCACTTTGTATCGTCTGCTGTTAAGTGGGGGTTTTTTGACCAAAACTTCCGAAAGTTCTCCAGAAACAAACCCACTTGCAATTGATAAAATTGCAGTTGATTCAATCCAACTCGTTTCGATACAATCTTCCTTTTTCAACCCCAATTCAGGGAAGCTCTTCTCCATGATGTAAAGAAGCTCCTCGGCCTTTCCCAGAAACAAGGAGAAGAATAAAGCTCTCATCATTCTTCCGCCTCCTTCGCTTGAATTCCGTGCTGTTAATTACCATGAAAGGTTGTAAATAACCTCAACAATTCTTTTTTATTTTCATTTTCTTTTAAGATACAGCATCAATGTATGATTTTAATGACCTAAAATAAATATGTATTATTAAATATAGAAAAAAAGAAATCAATTGTAAAAAGATAGTATAACCCAAATCCAACTCAAATTCAAATGATAAAAATAATACAAGTAATATACTAAAGGAAAATCATTATTTTCTCCTACTTGCCTCATTCAAAAAATTGACAGCTAGTCATGGTTTTTTCTTCATGCATTCATCTCTCTTAGTGATCAATTTTTTCGGAGCTTGATTCCTACTTCCAGTAGTTTTTTCAGTAATTCATTTGGAAGGGTGATAAATAAAAGATAACTACCTATTGGTAAGCACCTAAATTTTATTATTTTTTAAATATATTATAATTATGCGAGGGAGTAAAATATTTTACTTTCTTAGTATGTCATACGAGCATTATCTCACTCCTGTCCATTTCTAATGTTAAAGAAAGTGTCAAAACGAACATAGTTCAGTTGTAATTGACATACATCTTCGACGAATATGTTGTGAGTTCGATCCCCATCCCACATGGTGTATTAAAAAAAAAAGGCAAGGAAGGAGGGAAAAGTAATGCTACTTTTTACATTAAATGTTATTTTGGATACTATGTAAAGATCTTAAATATTGTGTCACGTTTGAAAATACATTTATTTTAGGACATTAATGGAGCTGACTCGTCAAATTTTTACAAATATTTAGGTGCGCAGCACCTCCGACAACTAAATAAAAATATTTTGCCTTTATATATATATTTATTTCTCCCACCCCCGCCAACTTTGCTTGCTTGTTGTTGTTGTGTAAGACAAAAAACAAAAAAACCAAAAAAAAAAAGAAATGGAATTGAAGTTAAATTAGGATACCTGTCACTGTGACGCTTATGAACAGATTTTCATCTGCCTCTGGTGCAACGTATTGCCATTGATGGACTAACTTGGCCACGCTTTGGTCCCAAGTTTTGTTAATAGCAATGCACGTAACAATGGCAGGAACTGGAACCAACTTTAACTTCCACGCCAAAACGATCCCAAAGCTCCCTCCTCCACCGCCTCTAATGGCCCAAAACAAATCATCCCCCATGGATTTTCTATCGTGAAGCTTTCCATTTGCATCCACAAAGTAAGCATCCACCACATTATCTGCCGCAAGACCATATTTTCTAACCATTGGCCCGAACCCGCCGCCGCTTAAGAACCCACCAACTCCCACATTTGGCACCACCGCACCAGGAAAACCAAGAGTTTTGGTTTTCTCGCCGATTCTGTAATAGAGTTCGCCGATGGTTGCTCCGGATTGAACCCAGGCAGTACTGTCTTTGGTGTCGACGGTAACTGAGTTAAGATTGATCAAATCAATCAACACAAATGGGACACTGGAAACGTAAGAAAGACCCTCGAAGTCGTGGCCGCCGCTGCGTGTTCGGATTTGGAAGCCGTGATTTTTGCAGCAAATAACTGATGCTTGGACGTGGGAGGCTTGTGATGGGGTGATGATGGCGACTGGTTTATGGGTATCGGATCCCCAGAATCTGGGGTTGCGAATGTTGAAATTTAGAATAGAAGAGTAGGAGGGGGAGGATGGGGTGTGAATAAGGATCGAATTTGAGTCATTGGTTGAAGAATGAAGAGAAATACAGTGAAGAAAATCTTCAAGATTATTGCCATCTGATGATGAACTCAATATTGCATATGCCAAAAGAAGAAGAGAGATGAAACTAGAATAGCTCCCAACAAAATTCATTTCTATTCTGCTTGCAGATCTTATGCAAACAAGTGGTTTATTATTTATAGAAAAATTATTTGCATGTTTATTAAATTTTTGACAACAAATATATAGGAGGTTATTCATAAAAAAAGAGAAAATAAAATGAAGAGCTGTGTTAAATTATTAGTTGGGAAGAGATGAGTGTTGTTGAGAAAGGACCTTAGTAAATATTATTCCTTAAATATTGTTGTGTATTTATATGTATGGTAAACTGGATCCAAAAATTTTGTCCTAAGGGCTTGGTATTAATTTATTAATTTATGTGTAACTTCACTAATTCATAAAAGTATGATTTTTAGACAGCAAGGTCTGTTTTTAAATATATTCTACTAACTTTATCTCAAAATTATCATTGTAATAAAAAATTCTAGTTCTAGATCATAAACCAGTATCTACTGCTAATTTTTCTAAATTTTATTTACTTTTCTTCAAAGAAGAAGATGATGGTCTAGTCGATTTTACGTGTCCATTTTGATTTCAAATTAAATCTACATGAACATTAATATAAATAAAATAAAAAGCTAAAACAAAAATTAAAATAATATAACGATAATGATTTCATGTATAAAAGTAGCTGAAACATGATAGTTTTGTATTATATTCCAAGTTTTTACCTACTATTATATTTAAAATAACCTCAAATAGTCACATTTATAATATATATTAGGTAAAGTTTAATGAAAATGTATCTTAACAATTAAAAATTGACGTCAATAATTAGACCAAGTAGACCACAAACAATATTATAATATAGTTATTTAGTCTATGTACTTTGTGGGAGGCTATTTACCACCGGCCACATGTCAACATCATGGTTAATGTTAAACCTACATCTTTCGAATAAGTGCAAGTGTCACTAGCTAGCTCAGCATGTCCGATCGAGCCAATCTACATTTCGTCTGTCGGCTGACTTACACTCTAGGTATGAGCTGACCGTGAAGAACACCTGCAAGCGTGAAGACAATAAGGATGTTCTCCGACAACATGCCGCGTTTCCTAAAATATCGAAGAGCCGTTAGAGTGCTACCAGAAGTTCTGTCGAAGTTCATCTCTATAAATAGAGACCCCCGCCTCCCATGCAAAGATACGCGAGACTATTATCTCTATGAACAATAGATYAGATTATGTACTAACTTGCTCGTCGGAGTGCTAACCCTGTCTTGTAGATACTTCTTCGGACTTCAGTACACTTCATCTGAACTTCGCATATTTCAAACTCGGTCGATTTTACGATCAAACATACTTTAAAAAGATTCTAATATATCCTTCAACTTTCAATATTTCTAACTCTGGTTTTTAACTCAGATCAAAAAATCAATTTACTATTTACACCGCGAAATGAATTATCCTAGCACATAAATGTTAATAGACTGATGAGTTAATGGCATAGATTCTTCGCAACTTATATATATTATCTTCTTTTTCTTTTTTAAAAAAATTACATATTTGTACGGAAAGTTTGAAATTTCTTTTGTTTTTTTAATTGACATAATCTATGATCTTTTCCTTCTTTGAAAATAAAATTAACGATTTCTTTTTTCCATTCAATAAAACTAATGGAAATTTATTAGAAAAAAATTATGGAAAAATCAGGAATCAATAAAAAGTTATACGAATTAATAGAAAAAAATCTAGGAAGTTTCTTGAACTCAATCTCTTGAAGCTACTTTGCATTTTTCCAAGGCCCTAATACCATGGGAAGTTCCTTTTTTTCTTCTTTCTTTTTTATTTTTTAAGTACAATACAATGCTTAAATTATATGGCTTTTGTTGGGTTTGTAAATGGTGCAAACAAAGTCCCACGTTGGTTAGGGAAGAGAATGATCATAGGTATATAAAAGAGACAATTATCTCCATTGGTATGAAGTCTTTTGGGTGAAACCAAAAACAAAGCCGTGAGGGCTATGCCCAAAAAAGAACGCATAACTATGAAAAATTTTATCTATCTTTATTAAAATCTTATGGGTTTCAAAATGATTTATCCTTTCCATATATAATGAACTATTTATAAAACCAAAGTTAATGTCATAAATAATGGCACTAATCATCTTTAATTGTTTCGTTGCCATCAATTTGTTGGGGACAGAAAACAGCATTGCTTCATGGAAAATAGAAGAAAGTAGGTAGATGACATGGAGGAGCAACTGACCTTCACACCTCCACCCTTAAACTGACAGCTGTGTGATCATTTTAGGGACGTATTAGAAAATTTTTAAAGATGCAATCTTATCAAACGAGAAGATTAAAAATATTTTATCTAACTCCATAGTTCATCAATTGAAAACTTTAATGTTTATTGTTTAATTAAATAAGGGTACTTTAACAAGCAAGTTAATGATGGAAGTATAACTCATATTTTATAATCACGACCATAATTTTCATAATGATGAAGATGATGAAAGTAATACTTTCATTTGGTTTTCCTTTTTTTTTCCCTTTCATCTGGTTTTTTTCCCTTATTGATTGATAAAGGATGGGTGATGTGTACATATCTATAACAATTTTTAAAAAATAAATAATTATGTAGAATTATTTTTTTGTACAACGACATCGTGGAGTGGAAATTGGAACATACAACCTGGATAGATACCTCTTAACAAGTTGAAATAGATCCAAGTTACCACTCCAATAAAATGTGATTCATTCAAAGATATTAGTTCCAAGTTACCAATTCAATAAAATGTTATTCATTATTCAAGATATTAGTTGCAAATTAATTTGTTTAGTTAATGTGCAATTACACTAATTAATGATAATAAATAAAAGTTTAAATTGTCTTTTTATTAGAAGTTGAAATGTTCTCAAGCTTTGTTTGGGATTGTTGTGGTTGTTATAAAACCAATTGTTGTAAATTGTAAAACTGTAATTAAAGTACATTAATGGTTTTCTGGATTGCCACGGTTGTTTTGTGGGGAATTTATGATACCCGGGCATCTCAAGATGTCCAGGTATCCTAGGATGCCCGTACGGGAGGTAAAACTGTAATTAAAGTACATTAATGGGCATCTGGATTCCCACGGTTGTTTTGCGGGGAATTTATGATACCCGGGCATCTCAAGATGTCCAGGTATCCTAGGATGCCCGTACGGTAGGCATCTAACGAGTTTTTTATGCCCTTTTGAAACGTGGGTATCCAAGATTCCCGTGTTGAGGGCATCCGCTTTTCACACTTTTGCTCTTCATTTTTTTCCATATATTTTCTTTCCTCAATTTTTTTATTTTTCCCCAATTTTTTTTATTTTTATTTTTAAATTTATAATTTAAATAAATTAATGAACTCATGGTCTAATAAGCAATTTTATGCAATTAAGTATATTTGTACATTACATTTACATATAAAATAAACTGCAATTAAATTATACAATATCTGGATTTATTTTTAATATTTCGAAGGGATTATATTATTAATAATATTTATTATCATAAATATATATTTTAAAGCAACAATTTTTTTTAAAAACCTCTTAAAAAAATATAATATATATGATGGTAAGATAAATAAATTTTACTGAAGATAATACCAATTATATGATTGTCTTTTTGGAAAAATATTCAAGTTGAAAATGAAATATATATTGAATTAATAGGAATTAATTTGTTCTACAAAACAACATATAAAAAACAAAATATTAAATTAATTCAAATAAATCTATTATATTAAATAAATTTATAAATTATATGAGTATTCGTGAGGGCATTTTTGGAACATCGTATAAATTTAACACATTCTCAAGAACAAATCTTGTAAAACAAACGTGACTATCCAAATATTGTCGGACATCATTGATAAATTTTCGTACGAAACAAACATGACTATTTGAAGATGCCGGACATCTAAAATTTCAGGCATTTGAAATTTCAGGCATCGATAGATACCGGACATCTACGTTCTTGAAAAGCAAACGGCCCCTAATGTTAATTTTAATTTTAAACATGAAAATACAGTATTTGGTAAATTAATACCAACTTGTTTCAATTTAACAATAAYGAGCAAAGTATTTCGAAATAATAATAATAATGAGCAAAGTGGACGTCTTATTATAATTATGTATTTTTTTTATAATTTTCAATTTTTCAATAGAATTATTTAAAATTTTATATCTCAATTTCATTTTTAAGTTTTATTTACTCTGAATTATTTGTAAAACTATTATGAGAAATAATTGTCACAAGAAAGTGTATAGAAAATGTATTCTAGTATTGAAAACCTAAGTACAACACGGTTGGTTTATGCTCTAATTAAAAGTTTTGAAATTTCAAAATAGGGTTCTAGAAACGAAAGATCATATGAGAAAAACAGGGGCCGAGAAGATGTGTGGCTGTGTGATAAGAAAGATAGGCAGGACACATGAATGAATAGTATGTTTGGGATGGTTTTGTGTAAAAGTACTTTTATTCAAAGCACTTTTTCTTTACATAACTCTCGAATAATTACTAATTTGGAGTGTGTTTAGCATAGATTCCTAAATTTTTTTAGATTGCTATTTTTTCAAGAGAAAAGGGATCATATTTAAAGAAAAAAATTGTTATAATTGTAAAAGAAAACAACAGATACGAACTCACCAAGCAATAATAGTCACATCAACAGTACCACCGTAATTTCTAGGTCAATAATTAGGCAATATTTATTCCACCATTAGTAGGCCAATTTTATTGGATCTCAACTGAAGATATGACCACACAAGCTGGAGAATAATCTCCTCAAATCAGCCTTCAGGCCAACTATTGCCTAGCCAAACTTTCCTTATTATATGAAATCCTTTCCTTTATTTTACCATTGCTATTATTTTCTTGATGAGAAAATCATGAAGGTCAATATGTGAAATTACATTATTTTATTCTCTTTGGTTTCTATTTAACAACTGTATTGGTTTAGTTTCTGTACACAAGAAATTAAATCAATTAAATTATAGTATAATTGTACAGTTCTTTCTTCTTGTGCATTTCATGCTAAATATTTTATGGCATCAAAGCATT